TAACAAATGAATTCAGTAGAAATAGATTTCAAATATAAGCATCATTAATCCTTTTGCGCAACTACTTACAGACGATTTCAATGGGAAAGCAAAATTGCTACCCTAACAAACACATGCACTCATGTATTATCACTAATCTGAAATAGCCTCAATCAAAACCTATAACTTATAGAACTCACTCAACTCAGTCATTAAAAAACATGGGTTGTTCAAAGTACATGTCATTGCTGTTAACCAAGTGTAATGAACGAGATGTGAAGAGATTATAATAGAGATAACAAATTAACACGGATTCATCTCTTTGTTTCTTAACTTTTAGAGAATTAACTATTAGTACAAGTAAGTCAACAAACCAGAGCTTTGTCGTCGAAAACAAATCTCACTCTAGTAGTCTGGAACAATAGCAGCAAGCCAAGGAGACCAGCAGGCGCAGCTGGCAATAGATTATTTGTATATGCTAACCCACCAGCTAAACCTGTTTGAACAGAAATATCACATCATATATAAGACTTTACTTGTCAAAGAAACCTCAGAGTTTCACACGATGAGAAACTAGGAGAGACAGTGAACAACTTTTACTAATTCATGTTTATCTTTTTAATTACACAAATGCAGGCATTAAAAAAACCTTCGAAAATCCAATCACCCTTGGGCATGGAGCATCAACAGAACAAAAGCCAAATCCAAGTTGACCCAATCAAGAAAAAAGAAAGATAAGGCTAGTTAATAGGCATGAATGCAAGTTTCGGTATGCAGACTCTAATTGGTCCAAGCAAAACTTTAATCCAAAGACCACAAGATTAACATCCATACACATACAATTCATCATGTGAAATGCCACTACTGTCTATACTGCTTGGTCTGGTTACTTTCCATCTTATTCATCATTAACTAAAAAGAGAAACCCGGATCAAAATACCCCACTTGCAAAATTCCTAGGTCAGTTCAAAGTGGAATCTTAATTGTTAATACCACAATGCTTCTCAAATCCTCCAAGCCATTCTCCTGATGAAATAATTTTCACAAGCAACATACTCTTTGCGCACAAAATCAAGTGCTTATATACGTACCAAGTAAGACAACTGGGATTCTGTAATCAGGCTCAGGAACAACAGTCTTTCTCCTTCCAAGCTGTGTCAAAAAAAATAAAAACATGGCGAACATATGAAAAACAATAATTTATCAAAATGAAAGTAGCCCATATACAAGAAACACACCCATTAAATTACCAAGGAGCTAATGAATCAAACATAGAAAATTTCGATAGTATAATCACGAACCACTGAAGCAGCAACAAAAGGGTCTCTCCGTATACTTCCAGTTTCCTTCTTTATACGAATTTGATTAGCTATCACTTTGCCATAGAATGAACTCCTCAGGTTCATCACATATCCATTCACTTCCCTATCTGTTAAACAAGAATGAAAATGAAAGATTCGAGACAACCACTTATAATTCAAAAACCCAGAGGCGTTTTTCAATGGACTTAGGGATAAAGGTTCTTACTTTGCGAAGGGAGAATGCACAAGGTCGATAGCGGAGCACTAGCCATCATTTTTTTAAGGAGAAAACAGAGGATTTTGAAAATTGTAAGAACCAAGTTAATGCACTTGGTTAACGAAGTGCAAACTACTACCTAGGCATGGATAGGAAGGGCACTGGAGTGAAAGGAAAGGAAAGTATTTCTTACATGTGAGGCGTTATCTGTTAATACACTTGGGTTCCTTACAACCACCAAATAACTAAAACAAGCGCCCACTGAGAAGAGAAACTTGTTTTAACGGAAAACATTTTCCAGCCATTTTTTTCAGAAAGAGACACCAGAATTTCTAAAAATTAATTCAAGCCGTTTTAACAAATGCTCTTGCTATTTTCTTACTCTCTATTTTTCTAGGAATCAAGATATTCTAAAATAGTTTATATCTCAACTAAGATCAAATTTAAGACATTCAAAAAAAATTATTACTTTTTAAATACGATTTC